CAACATTCGGAGAGTACGACCCTGCCTTACACAGGAAGCGGCACAGGTCCTAATCCAGGCACTTGTCATCTCCCGTCTGGATTACTGCAACTCGCTGTTGGCTGGCCTCCCTGCCTGTGCCATTAAACCCCTACAACTCATCCAGAACGCCGCAGCCCGTCTGGTGTTCAACCTTCCCAAGTTCTCTCACGTCACCCCCCTCCTCCGCACACTCCACTGGCTTCCAGTTGAAGCTCGCATCCGTTACAAGACCATGGTGCTTGCCTATGGAGCAGTGAGGGGAACGGCACCTCTGTACCTTCGGGCTCTGATCAGTCCCTACACCCAAACGAGGGCATTGCGTTCATCCACCTCTGGCCTGCTGGCTCCCCTTCCTCTGCGGAAGCATAGTTCCCGCTCAGCCCAGTCAAAACTGTTCGCTGCTCTGGCACCCCAATGGTTGAACAAGCTCCCTCACGACGCCAGGACAGCGGAGTCACTCACCACCTTCCGGAGACATTTGAAACCCCACCTCTTTAAGGAATACCTGGGATAGGATAAAGTAATCCTTCTACCCCCCCCCCCCCCCCCCCCCCAAAAAAAAAAATTGTAAAGTGGTTATCCCACTGGCTATAGGGTGAATGCACCAATTTGTGAGTCGCTCTGGATAAGAGCGTCTGCTAAATGACGTAAATGTGCCCTTGAACAAGGCACTTAACCCTAATTGCTCCTGTAAGTCGCTCTGGATAAGAGCGTCTGCTAAATGACTAAAATGTAAATGTAAATGTCTTGTTGACCTAACGTTATATCCTAATTTGACTTTGGTGCAGGTCATGTTGTTCTTCACAAAACTGTCTCTGGTAAACACACAGTATATCAAAATAAAATCAAAGTTTATTTGTCACATGCCCAGGATACAGAAGGTGTAAACGGGACAGTGAAATGGTTACTAGCAAGCCAGACAGCTAACGTTAGCTAGCTAGCTAACAGTATGCTTTAACTTGCAATGAAAATGACTTTCTGAATAAATGTGAAACCTATAATATCTTAAAATGTAGCTAGCTAGACTCTGTTACTCGTATACATGGATGAATGCTTCTCCCTCTCTGTCACAGATGCCATGGTTGCCCTTAGTTTGAAGATTTTATCAAGAGACAGGTGTTTTATAAAACAGCCTGTGTGTTCTCTTTTTGACTCCCTCTTTTTGACTCCCAAATAGCTGAATTTTCTCCATCTCCTTAGCTATCATACTCTGCTTCCACCGGGCATTCCACTGATTTCAAAACTCGGTCCTCCAGAAAGTGGAGAGCAACACTTTTGCAGTTCTTTGTGATGTCTTTAAAAAAAGCCATGTTAGAAAGGATTACCTACGCATACTGAGCAGCTCATGTTATAGACAGAAGTGTGCTACATGGCAGACCAATCCGAAATCATCTCTCGGCATGTCCAGCCCATCCATTATTTCAGCCAATTATGGCTGGCGGGAAGGTTCCTGTCTTTTTCCATGGCTAAACCAACTAAGCGCATAATTTAACAATTTTATTCATATTTGCAGATGGCATACAAGTTTGTTATTAACGCACATGAAAGTTCACATGTTCCAGAAGGCATTTCTGCCAAGAACACATTTTGATAAAAAATTAATGTTTACATTCAAATGCCTCTCCTGTGAAGTAGTGACGTGCGACATACGCCAAGTTTCCTGAAACAAGTCACAATTTTAGTTTCCTGGGGAGGCATTCTGTTATCTCTGCACTGGCATAGACACAAACACTGAACACTGCTATTGTCTCCCTGTCTGAACTGGACAGATTTAGTGAGAGGGGAGTTGGTAGCCCGCACACCCACTGTCCCCCAAAGTGTCAAAACACAAAGCTCCTTCTTTTTCCAGTGAGTTTTCTCTTCATCTGATGTTGCCATTGGAGATTCATACTGGAATGTACAATACACACCATACAGCACACATCCAATCATACCTTACTTCCGTTTTCAAACTTGTGTTTCTTTGCTTTTTAATCATGAGCGGTTAATTTATTTTGTGGATAATGGCTCTGATCTGTAAGCTTCCATTTCTCACATCTTCTCTCTCTTCATATTGCAGCGCTCCCTCGTTAGTGGGGTTTTAATTGGCCGTTGGGCTAAACTGAAAACAATGAAGAATTGATTTCCTTAAGCATAATCACCTCATCCAGTCGCCTAATGACTGCTGTCACTGTGGGCTCCGAGGAGAAAAATGACCAGTCGATGCTCTCATTGATGCCCTTCACCTCATCCCACCAAAGGGTAGAGAGCAGAACCACCTACCCCATAACCCTTCTAGCTGGGTGACAGCCTGTGAACGGTCCATCCATCAAACACACGTGCACGTGTGCATGTACACATACATGTACAGTGCACCTTGTTTACATTCACACACACAGAGACAAATACACAGACACACACCAAGCATACACACACAAATGTCCACACACAGGCCAGGCACAGGCGCACAAACACAAACAGAATAGACAAGTATTTGCCTCATGCTGACATGGTCCAAGTGAGCTTAGGTGTATGTGGACAGCATAATGTACTGTCCAAGTGGCCATTTGTCCTCTGCATATCTCTCCCCTCTGGCCCCATGGTGTCCGATCAGGTCCATTGTACTGCTCTCATTCTCTGTCTGCACAGATGGTACTGAGTGAACTGCTCTAATGTCCACCTGGCTGATGGCTAGACATAGAGCTGCTTATCTCACCCTAGGGTCTGGAGCTAAATAACACACACATGCGTGCGCATACACATACACGCACGCACGCACACACACGCATGCACACACACAGGCTCGCACGCACGCACACTCACACACATGCATGCAAGCAGATATACAGACACACAGGCACGCATGAACGCAAGCACACACACACACACATACACAAACACACGAACAGACACACGCACAAGTGCTATGTTTTGATCAAATATCCCATATGGAGGTGAGATAGAAGAGATGAGTTTGGAAGAAGAGATGATGACATATTCTTGGAATGTCCTTTGAAATCCTGTTCATACAGATGTCCAATCTTAATTTGACCAGTTTCTCACAGCAGGAAAATCATCCTGCAGCAACAGGACGTGAATTATTATATGGATTATAAAAAATCAAAATATTTGTAGGGGTTGATACATTTTTCATTAGGGCAAATCAAGTCTGAAATATTAAAGTGGAAATTATAAACTTTAGAAGCATTTTTAAACCTTGAATACATTGCAAGTTTGCATTTCCTGCTGTGCCAGAAAATTATCTGTGACAACAGAGTGATCAAATTAAGAGAGGACACCTGTACATGTTGCATTTCTTATTGACAGAACAGCTGATTCCTCATGGCAATGCATTTTCAGCATTAAGGAGTCTGATGGACTCATTGTGGTTTTAGACCAACATTGATAAAAGGCCAGGGGGTATGATAAATATTCCCTAAGTAGGCAGGACTTGAAGGTGGGCATTTTGTGAGGGCTGCCTCTACCACAGGCTTGAAAGCATGTCTCCAGGCAGGAAACTACCAGTAAAATATTGAATAAATATTGTGAGTTTTGGGGTTTAAATATAGTGCACTCAAGGGATTCTTTCCTCACTTTTATGGTTTGTGTTCTGCCTCATGTATCAACAACTAAGCTTGTGGAGAGCGACATTAATTCTGCAGGACAGCGGTGGCCAACATAACTGCAAATGTTCTCCTTTTAATCCCAGTCTCCACTGCCTGTGGTCTGGGCATGGCAGACCTTGATGAAAATGTGAGCAGAAAAGTGTTACCAAGCTCAGCTCAGATATTTTTTTCAGGATCCAGCCACTTCAAACATTTACACAGCCAGCCTCCAATAAAACAATTTAATGATTTTACCACCATGTTTAAAATGCAACACCACCATGAAGAAAATCACACTGCTACAAAAAGAGGAAGCGTTCTTTGGCTCCCTTTTACCTACTCTCCCTACACTCATCCCGCTCTCCTCTCCTCCGTGAGCTCCAGTTTAATTGTTGGACGATGGTGTCTGTGGCGACGGCTGTCAGAGGAAGATGAAGAGTTTTTCCGGGGCGTGAGGAGAGGGCCACACGGTGATGGAGGGCCCCTCTCCTGCAGCTCCGCTGGCTGCATTAGCACGCCACTTTATAACTGTGTGAAAGGGGCACTTCCAGTGGTTCCCTCATTACTCACAGGCCCAGTCGCGGCTCTGGCAGGCCCCTGCCCTCTCCCTCTCTCTCAATCCTCCTCTCTCCATATTTAGGAGAGGAGGGACGTCCCTAGGCTCCATCAGCCCCTCGCTCCCCAGGGTGATCCCTATTGTTACTTTGACCCACCAATGGCACATTTCTCCTCTGAATTATTACTTTTGTCAGAACAAGGTCCATTGTGCTGCAGTTGTTGTAAATTATGTCACCTCTGTAGGTGGCTGGTTTAACCCAGTCAGCCTGGTTAAGACCTAGTCTGTATCTCCAGGCCTTCACTCCTGAACCTACTGGAACAGATGCATATCACATGCAGGATCTCAGGGATGCAAGGAGAGCCACATTAATGCAGAGCATGATTTCCTCATCAGGGAGTGATTTGTAATGGAGTGAGGAACACCCTAAGAGTCAAATTAGAATAATCGAAATGCCTCTTGGGGCAATTTGCAAAGCATGCTGTGGTGAAGAGGATAACATAGTAATTGCATGTTATGTGCCTTACGTTTATTTTCAGCAGTATTTTTATCATTTGTAGTATGTGAATATATGAACTCATGATTTAATTAAGTTCAGAACAACAGAAATGTACTTAACCTCAGATAAATGTAGTAATTTAAAAATATGAAATGAGTAACCATAGAAGCTAATTAAAAGAAGCATAGTGGGCCTATTTAGTACAATGTATTTTTATAGTGTACTGCTGCTCATTTATTCTATATTGAATTCACAGCAGGGATTTATTTAATCTCTAACACCATTTTCTACATATACCAAACATAATCCAACATCAATCCTACTCCTGACGTTCTAGTATATGCTCCACAGTAATTACCTAACCAAACTCCTCAGCTCCATGTGTCGGCTAACCATGTGTCTCTCTGTCCCTCTGTCTGTGTGTCCTCAGAAGGAGGTACATGTGAGGTGATCGCAGCCCACCGGTGCTGTAATAAGAACCGTATCGAGGAGCGCTCCCAGACTGTCAAGTGCTCCTGTTTACCGGGAAAGGTGGCCGGGACAACACGCAACAAACCCTCTTGTGTGGATGGTAAGGACATGTTCATAGCATGTTATTCACTTTTTAATATCACATATGGCTTAATATTCTAAAAATAAGTAGTTCCCTAAATGTAGTGTAGAGGTACTTTTTTACAGTAGTTTATAACTTTGATTGTAATTATAATATTGCTGGCATTTACACACTTTTGAATGAGACTGCCACACGCTGAGATGTTTCAACAGCTTTCTTCCTAGTGCGGCTCATTCTTGCATGAGTGGGGTTGCAAAGCTAATCTTCAGTTATTCTGGTAATTAACAGAAAATCTATGGCAATCTGTCGTAACTTTGGTAATTTATACTTGAATAACTTTTTTTTTTAATATTCATATATAGTATTCATTTTTATATGTCGTCCATATTGTCCATGAGTTTCTAGTAGACACACCATATTGTTCAATATAAAATAGCCTAAATAATGAAAAGACAATGGTATTATTTTCAATTACCTCTGCAACCTGTCCAACTATTGATTTTTTTTCACAACTGCCACCAGTTTGACGCCAAAGCATTTACAACAAATACATAGTAAAATAAATAAAAGTGTAAAAAAAAAAAGAAGGATATGTGGAAATACTCATATTAAACAACCAAGGGTGTTGATGGTCTATATTTAGGATAATGTTTTACAGCTTTGTCATTCATTTTTTTAAATTAAAAAATCACGTGTGATAAGGCCACACAGAGGGGCAGAGATAATTACAGACACCTGTGATAATCTGAAATACCCCAAAGGGCCATTAGACACTAGTCTAAGATCCTTGAAAGATGCCAACATTCTGGTAGTTTACTGGTAAACGTCAAAGGTTTCAAAGAATATACTCTATGCATGACTCTCTTCTGTCTTAATGAAGTCAATTGAGATAATAATAAAGCACTCTAATTTGGAGACTAAGTTGAATCTGGGTGAGTGCAGCAAAGGATTGTGGGAGACAAGCAATACCTGAGATGCACAGCTGAACACATGGGAATGGCTCATGTTGCATATTGCATGGCCCAAGGCAGCTTAGGTTCATAAATGAATAAATAAAAAACACAAGTCTGGGAACCCCTGGGCTGACACACCTGAAACACCTGAGGAAAATAATCAACAGAGTTACAGGGAAACAGAGCACAGGACCACAGGCAGTCACAAGCCCAGTGAGATAGAACAGAACATAACAGAGAAGCTAGGTCCTTCAGAACTCATTTATCCTGATGCAGTTTATTGTGCACCTCAAACTCCTCAAAGTAATCTAGGCTGTCCTCACAAAGGAACGACACAGAGTCTTCATCATGAATGACGTACGTCTGCCCTCTTCAATCCATTTTATAGTCTTGGTTAGCTACATCTGACACTTTGATCAGTTCTGGAATATGAATTAGATATAAGCCATGAGACAGACAAAGCTAAGCTAATTCATCCTTAAAACCAACTGCTAAGGCTAAGGACTCAGAACTTGGTTGACTTACCAAATGTAAGAAAACAGGCGCGTTCCACAGCTAAGGCGATGCGACGCAATAACCAATGGTTGCGTGCCACGTCATCGACTGTGTCATCGACTGACAAATTGCTATAACATATACTGCTTTAACTGATACTTCAAATACCTATCCAACCGTTGTAAGATCTGTCAAGCATCCACAATGTCTAAGCATAGGAACGCGCCCAGCATGTTAAGTGCATTTCACAAAGGGAAAACCCCCCTGAATGAAACATTTAAAGAGTTCTAACCTTGAAAACAGCAGTGCAGTTCCTCTAGCAAACAGTTTTGTCCCACACAGACATAGACAGCCAGCCAAACAATGTCTCCTCCACCATACCTGAAAAACATACATCTGAAGGGCCTGTTGTAACCATGGCCCTCTGGAAATTATATATTTTCTCTCCAGCCAACAATACAAGCTTTATTGACGAGGGAATCATATCTGATGGTGGCAAGGATACAATGCAATATGTTAGATGGATGTATATCTTTACATTGCCTTGGTGTGATCAGTTTCATAGGATCCAGATATGAGGAGAGATGAGAGGATGGGGAATGAGGTAGTGGGGAGTGGAGAATGAATGGAGAAGGTAGGAGAGGGGATAGGGGGGATGCAGAGGAGGGAAGGGAGGGCTGGGAGATGCTCACACTTCATGCCTCTGTGCTCCTGGCTCCTGCAGTGAGGGAAGAATCCCTGTACCTGTTACTGTATTAATTAACAACCTGTTATATAGAGAGTGGGGATGAAAATGGAAATGACAAGTCACTGAGCAGCGATGTTCCAGCAGTAGTGAGCACCACAGCACCCCAGAAGGAGGGAGGGAGGGAGGGAGGGAGGGAGGGAGGGAAGGAGGGAGGGCGAGAGAGCGAGCGCCAGTGGTACCTATCCCTCTTTCATAGAACCAAATGAAATTACAGAGAAAAACAGATGACAGCATGTGTGGTTGATTGAGGAGACACACCATTTACTTTTGGCTTTTGTCTGATTGATGCCATTTTGTAATAAGATGATCATAACTTTACATTTACATTTTTGTAATTTAGCAGAAGCTCTTATCCAGAGCGACTTACTGGAGCAGGGTCAAGTGCCTTGCTCAAGGGCACATCAACATGTTATTTTACCTAGTCGGCTCAGGGAATCGAACCAGTTGGTACAATACACAGGTAACAAAAGAGTCCGCCATTAAGGAAAATCAATCAAACACTCAGCACCCTATCTTCCCTACACATGCACCAAGTCCTGTACTGTATGAGTGGCAAGACGTAGAGATCGATTACTCTCCTTTCTTTGAGACAGCATCCTGGGTGTATTAACTGTCATTAGCATCAAACCAGGCAAACCATTAAACAGAGAAAAGGGACTGCATAAAGATAAAACAGTTCCAAAGACGTTCTTTTATATGTAACATTTACTCCTTTGTATATATTAGGGATGTGTATTTGTGTGATATTTCCTCTGGGATTGGTAACTGATTGGGGTGTTTATTAATGCATGGGAATGTGGTACTTGTGTTGGAGGCTGGTGCCTCACACACTCGGTGGGGGTGTGCTGTAAGCTTATCCCTGCATGGGAATTGATTATTAGCTTTGACAAGTAGAACTACGTCCCAGTTATGTCAGGGCCAACAAGGCTTTTAGTGTGGAACATCCCATTTAACAAGTCAAACACTCCGGCTTATTTCTCACAGCACATGCTAGGCCAATGCAATATGCTCAAATTAGGCGCCTGCCACAGAACCACTGCCTTTATCCTGCTCTGAGAAATGCAAGCGCACAAACACTGTACACATACTTTTTATACACACATACACACACACACCACACACACACACCCCACACACACACCACACACACACACACCCCCCCCACACACACACACACACACCATACACACACACACACATACAGAATGCTGTTTGCACCCCCTCTGCCACATAGACAGACACACATACTATTTATACTGTAGCAGTGATGATCTCTTGTCACAAGCAACACACACACACACACACTTTCTCTCATATATACACATACTGTATAGTACACACACAGACACACATATCTTTTCCCTCTTGGGCATATTAAGCATGGTGCTAGCAACTGATGGAGAATAAACCCTTCTGTTTGGCTGTGGGCGGGTAATGCTGAACATGACAGGTTGTCATGGTACATTTGAGCAACGTCCAGGGGGAAACCACACATGGATGCTAGCTACTTCAAGGGTGGAAAGAGATGCCTGATTCCTCCACACACTCTGCTGAATAGCTACAGAATATCAAAAGCACTCGGAATGAACTACATAGTTTGAAAGGTCCTTCAAAAGATATTCTTACATACGCAGGGCCATTACCATGATTAGTGATATCAATGTTTCAAAGAGAAAATACTTCATTATATCTGGAGATGTGACACGCTACATACACTGAGTATACAAAACATAAAGGACACCTGCTCTGTCCATGGCATAGACTGACCAGGTGAATCCAGGTGAAAGCTATGATCAACTTATTGATGTCACTTGTTAAATTCATTTCAATCTGTGTAGATGAAGGGGAGGAGACAGGTTATATAAGGATCTTTAAGCCTTGAGACAATTGAGACATGGGTTCTGTATGTGTGCCATTCAGAGGGTGAATGGGCAAGAAAGAGGGTGAATGGGGCTTGCCTGTTTTGCATGTTATTTTGCCAGTAATACGTGTCTGTCACGCCCTGACATAGAGTTGGCTAGTTGGTGAGTCAGGGTGTGAATATTTTGTGTGGGAATTTCTATGTGGACATTCTAGTATTTGTATTTCTATGTTTGGCCGGGTGTGGTTCCCAATCAGAGGCAGCTGTCGCTCGTTGTCTTTGATTGGGGATCATACTTAGGCAGCCAGTTTTCCTGCCTGGGTTGTGGGATCTTGTTTGTGTTTCGGTGTGTTTGGCTTGTTTGTGTATTGCCTTCCGACGTCACGTTTCGTTGCCTTTTGTTGTTTTGTCAGTGTTTATTGTTTTAATAAACATGCATGCATTCCACGCTGCGCCTTGGTCTAATCCGTCTCTCAACGATCGTGACAGTGTCACATATCAGTTTGCAAGCAATGTAAAAAAATTACATAATTGAGTTAATAAAGCCGCATACAAATATCGTCTCTTTTTTGCTTTATTGAGTAAAGCTGCTCCAAAATGCAGGTGTTTTCGAAAAATGTAATCATCGAATATTGTAAGAGCTTTCATTGTCTGCTTATATGCCCCCTTCACAGGGAGAACACTGTAAGAATGGCCCATGTTCTGAATTCTGTCGCTGTACATTTCAAAAGTGCTGAACAAATAGTTATATTGACTATGTCTGTCCTAGCTCACTCATTAATGTCTTAATCGAAATTACGGATTGCCTCTTATCTGCTTGTCGTTCCCTTATGCCATAGTTTGTACATCTCAATTGTCAGTAGAAACCACATTTGTTTAAGCAAGTCAATCATATCAGCTATGTTTTTTTTTTAAGGCAGTAAATGAGTCTGAATGAACTGTTTCGCTGCCAGACAAGGCTCCGCTGATAGCCAGGTATAGCAGTGGTAAGGTGTTGGGACTGCTGTTGGGAAAACGTTATGTAGGCCCTAACAGTTTGTGGGCACCGTTTGTCACCGTTATAGTGCAATTAATGTATTGTTTAGTGTTGTGTTGTATTGTGTAGTGGCTTTGCTGGCATGCATCCCACATATATATATATATTATAATTTTTTCCCCACCAAGATTTACATGCTAAAATTGCCACTGGTACTGTACATGGAACACACCGCTGAGACTATACAGAGGAGATGTATTCTTTATACACACACATGTGCTGGCTGTGTGTCTGTGTGGATGCATTAAAACAATGCTTCAGACCTGGCTTTCCACGATTACCTTGCCTCACGTTTGACAGTGCAAAGTCTAAATCCAATGACATCTAAACAAAGTCACACAAAATGAACATCAAATTCAATTATTGGAAGACCTCTGTCCTTCCCAGCATGCTTTACTCAGTTATAGACCCACTTGTGATGAGCAAGCCTGCAAGGCCTCAACCTGGTGCCGATACAAGGTGAGCAGAACAGTGCTGTAGCTCCTGTAGTTGTTGCAAAACAATGCCTCCTCTCTCGCTGCACGCCCGCCGACAGGAGCAAAGTAAAAACTGTACAAATACTAAAGGCTGCATGAGTCAGAGTTAATTTAAATAAATACAAATTGTTGGTGATTATTGAACAGAACTAGGTAGCTAACGTCCTCCAACTTTGTTGCATTCCACCAAGCTCTTCCGCCATAGCAGACGTCATTAGACACTTGACCTTTCAACTGACAAGACAGGAAGTCTCCCGAGTGGCGCAGTGGTCTAAGAGATCCTGGTTCGAATCCAGGCTCTGTCGTAGCCCGCCGCGAACGGGAGACCCATGGGGCGACGCACAATTTGGGTAGGGGAGGGAATGGCTGGCAACGATGTAGCTCAGTTGGTAGAGCATGGTGTTTGCAATGCCAGGGTTGTGGGTTCGATTCCCACGGGGGGCCAGTATAAAAAATGTAATGTATGCACTCACTAACTGTAAGTAGCTCTGGATAAGAGCGTCTGCTAAATGACAAAAATGTAAAATGTAAGTGCTCCTTACAAGGGACAGGAGTCATTCAGCCAGCCAGGGCTATTCTTTGTGTTCCACTCTCTGCATAGTTCCACATATACTACTTCACATCTGGACACTTTAAAGTTCCATCCATTCTCATCATTCTTTTTGCAAGAGCAATTGTACAGGTTACAATTCAGAAACTCTCATCAGAGGTGATACAGTTCTTCAACGACCACTCGGGCACACTTCAAGACGAATAACCACAACACTATTAGAAGCACATTCACATTCAGTACACACATTTTTACATTAAAATTTTAGTCATTTAGCAGACGCTCTTATCCAGAGCGACTTACAGTTAGTGAGTGCATCCATTTTCATACTGGCCCCCCGTGGGAAACAAACCCACAACCCTGGCGTTGCAAGCGCCATGCTCTACCAACTGAGCTACACGGGGCCACACACACACATACACTCACACACACACATGCAAATATACACTTTTCACATTCCATAAATACTATACAGGCTGTGGTCCCAGGGTAGTCATTATGAGTGTAAAATATTGGACATGTAGTAATTGAGAGGCCAAACAATAGTGTCTGAATAGCTAATCAAGAGACAGTCTGGTACTGTGAAGAGCAACGATTAATATAGAATAATGGCTTGTGAAACTGACCTCAGATCTGGGGTCTCTGTCTCGGTCCCTCCATAATTACACACTGGCTTCATTATTCCAGCTCTGTTGACCTTCCCCAGCCTTATTACTGCCATTACACACTGGCCAGTCTCCCTGGGACTTCAGCCAGGCTCATATCTCTGTGCAAGGACTGACCAGGCCTCTTCATTAAAACAATCAGCTCATTATGCCCAGTTACTGGTCTGGTGAGATAGGACTCCCATGACTGATTGATTTGGAAATAAGTGTGTGATGGGTTAGAGACACAGACACTGAGTGTTGAGGTACTGTCGATTGATTGCAGAGTGGAAGAGGGCTGCTGACTATAAGAGGCTGGAGGGACATGGTGCCAGACAGAGGGGCACAGGAGGGCCAGAGGGGCATTAGAGAGAGGCAGAGGGAGGCAGGGAGAGTTCACCATTATCCAGTGTGAGCCATCGATCCATGCCCCCAACACCTGCAGAAAAGCCAAGACGTAGGAAAAAGACACTGAGGGCCACCAAAGCCATTGGAAAATGTATATGTTTGCCTTGATTCATTTAAAGTAAGTCCAGTCCATGTATAGTGTAGAGAATCATTGTACGATCTAAACTGCTGTGAAATATATTTGTTATAACCAAAAATATTGTATTTTCAGCTGTTTGAAACTGGTGTACAAAACCTAAAGTAAAATATGCAAAAACTAAACTTAAGAACGGGATGCATAGAAATAGCGCAGACAGAACAGATTTACTGCTTCTTAGACTTGCTTTCAATGCAAATGACAGATCTATAACTTTCTATGGGAATTTGGTAGGGTCACCCAAAAATGTACACATTGCAGCTTTAACTATTCATTGAAACCTCAGGCATGCACTCAAAACTCAACTGGGACAACATTAAATTATGTTCGCTCATCTGTCAAGGTGTTCAAACATTGTGTTACCTGTAAGACGTGTCAGGTTCAATCTATCACACACTGTAACTATCCCACTGTGGATGCTTGACTATGGGGATGTCATCTACAGGTCAGCATGCAAGGGAGCCCTTGAGAAGCTAGACGTGCTTTATCATTCTGACATCAGGTTTGCCCCTTACAATTCTCATCATAGACACTCTACAATGAGTGTACAAAACATTAAGAACACCTTCCTAATATAGAGTTGCATCCCCTTTTGCCCTCAGAACAGCCTCAATTCGTCGGGGCATGGACTCTACAAGGTCTTGAAAGCGTTCCACAGGGATGCTGGCCCATGTTGACTCATGCTGGTCCATGTTGTTCTGTATTGACTTTGTGTTTGTCATATGTCCCTGTGCTTCTGTGTTGTGATGTCTGTCTTGTCCTGTGATTTCAATGTTTGTTTTTTTACTGTATTTATTGCACCGCCTTTCCCAGTCGTCACTGGCCAGGCCATCATTGTAAATATGAATTTGTTCTTAATTGACTCGCCTGGATAAATAAAGGTTAAATTAAATAAATAAAAAGTGTATTTGACAGACAAATATGCACAAGGTCTGTCTTTTCATGTTTTTAATCAATTCCCGACTTGTCAAAGCTTCCATGTTTGTCCATCAATCTTATGACAGGATGATTGATGAGTAATAGGAGAAAGGTGAGTGTTGTAATACTGTTGACCCTGCTGCTACCTCTGTACCACACCTCTCTTGAAAGATAGTTATCTCCATGAGGTTAACATCTACATGTAAAGGTGGATTATGCTTTAAGAAATCTGTCATGCAGAATAGAGGTCTTCACGGATCCACTTGTACCAAGGGGGTCCGAATCCAGAATTCTAAATATTGTCACGGTCTGAGTTAGATCTTTTATGATTATCACGGGTCTCGGGTATGTGTAGTTTTAACTGACTTGTCTGGAAGGACCCATACAGATCCGAACACGACTACTGTAGTAGAGAGAGAGACATTTTATGATTTATTTTGCTGCTCTTGCTTTTCACGAGAGTGACAAGTGGCACGTGTAGCTTGTTGTTGTTGTTGGCCAATCATACGTCATCAAAGCGGCAATAGGCTACGGTCATAGAGCCTCCATTTTAAATTATAAGGTACTTTTACTTTGGATACTTAAGTATATTTTAGCAATTACATTTACTTTTGATACTTAAGTTTACTTAAAACCAAATACTTTTAGACTTTTACTCAAGTAGTATTTTAATGGGTAACTTTCACTTTTACTTGAGTCATTTTCTGTTAAGGTATCTTTACTTTTACTCAAGTATGACAATTGGGTACTTTTTCCACCACTGAGGATAGGCTACAACAACCAAGAGCCAAATGGTAGGCTGCTACTTAATATTCTGAATGGAGTTGTTGTTATTTGTAACTGTGTCAGGCGAGAAAATGCATACAGCCTCAATTAGCCTACCTAGCTAGCTTAACTAGCTTCTCCCGGTTTGATGCAGTCAAGACAGGTACGAGGTAATCATAATGGATGATAAATAACCTAGCTATGGCAGCTATCTACTATAGCACCGGCTTGGTTGGTTGCTGTCTCTCGTCTCTCCCTCTCTCCTCCCTGCTCCCCATGTCACTCACTCACTCAGAGTAGTGTCAGTCAATTAAGTAAGTTAGTTGACTGACACTACAAGTCAGTTAAAATTACACATAACCGATACCCATGACAATCATATCAGACTGACTCAGAACCGAGACATTATTTTTGAAAATGTTTTGGTCCCGTGGAGACCTCTAATGCAGAATTTGATCCATCATGATGGTGCCAATAGTATGACAGACAGACAGACAGACATTCAATTTTTGTGATGACCAGGCCTTGTAGGTCAGTTACCCAGGGACCACCGTCCTGCTATAGTAATCCACATCCCCTCCATAGTTCTAGACAGGAGAGGAGGGGGAAACAGGAGGGGTCACAAAGTTGCTGTGGTAGGGGTGGAGTGGACCACTGGGAAGTGAGGGATGGATCCCAGCCCATAGAATAGCACTTTTCCAGCTGCCATGGTCACTAAGAGAGAGATGTCCTGGCCTGGATTCAGTGGATCTGGAGCTCCATAATAACCCTGAGCCTCTCCTTTAGCCCCTGTGGCTCTCTGACTCCCTACACATACTGGATCACACAGAAGGGCTGCCAAGCTAAGGCCTGCTATTTAAGTTCGGTTCAATTTGTGTCAGTTTAGCTTTTTACGATGATGACCTTATGAATGAGATGGAGAAGTCTGCCACTTTCTGCCACTGTCTTATCAATAGACATCTTGTCTGTTAGGTACTGTAACTGCTGTAGACATAACATGGAGCTACAGTATGTATACCTCTTGCACAGAAAGCCATTATGCTGTTTATAATGAGGGCAGAGTTAGTGTCCCTGAGACATGTGTGACAGGCACATACAATTGACTGGCCCTATAGAAATGACTAGCACAGATGTACTGTAGATGCTCAGCACACAATGTGAGGAGAAGCCAATGTGGCGTGGAGTCTACTGGTCATATTTCAACCCCTCTGGTGAGGCAGCGTTTTAATCTCAGCTCTCCCTCTCTCTCCTTTTCTTTTCTCCCTCTCTGTCTCGGTCTCTTTTCAATTCCAAACAATATATATTTATATATATATATATATTACTTTACCATTTTCAATTCAGAGTGGATTCTGCATTCAAAGTGTTGAATATAAATCCTTCTCAGTGCTCGTATAATGAAAAACAAGTTTCCAGGTTCTGCTGTTCAGAACAAAAATCAGGTGGTAAATGGAAAACAGGCTCATTGCAGCACAAAATGATTAGACATGTCGCCTGGAGCACCAGACTTCAGAATCATCCATTATTTTCTTTCTTTACGATGATACAGTTAATGGTGTTTGTCCAGCTAAGCCCTGGCTTAACTACAATAGCATGGAAACAAACATTGCAGCATCTCAGAAAGACCTCATGGTGAGAATGTTTCCTGCCATCACACATGGGATTGCTGTGTGATTAAGATGGGATGCATATTTAGTGAAGCTACACAGGGTGTGTGTGAGGAGAGAGAGAGAGAGAGAGAGAGAGAGAGAGAGAGAGAGAGAGAGAGAGAGAGAGAGAGAGAGAGAGAGAGAGAGAGAGAGAGAGAGAGAGAGAGAGAGAGAGAGAGAGAGAGAGAGAGAGAGAGAGAGAGAGAGAGAGAGAGAGAGAGAGAGATGAGTGTGTGGTAATTACTGTATGTGGTGAACAGCCATGGGGGAGTCAGTGGTTAATGTGTGTTTGGTTGGTGTGCGGAGGAAGGGAACACTTTGCTCTGGGCTCTGCTAGCTCAGGTAGCTTCAGCACATGGTTAGGCCATCTTTAAGGGGAGGGGAAGCGTAAACCTGGGATTGCTGATACTTCACTGAGCAGTCTCTGTGGTTTCTATAAAGCCAATGCTACGACTGTATGAGTCAGTTCTTCTCAGAGTGTGAGGAGTGTGTATGTGGCCAGTGTTTGAAAAGTAGGCTACAGTTCAGCCTGTTCTCTCTCCATATGTTGCTACAGTTTGTATCACAATGCACAGGAGCTGTACTGAGTCCTGCATTTTTGAAGAGGTGCTCACAAAACTTGCTACCCTTGTAACCTTGATTACACAGACTGCAGAAAAACTTTACCAGAAAGGTGAAACAGGATGTGAGTTGGAAAAACCCAATATGTCTATCTTGACTCAGACATTTAACCTTCCAATCCTATCCAGTTAAAGGGGAATGGAAACACTTTAGGAAGTAAAGCTAAGTAAAGAGATGCATTCAATCTAATGCTAAACATGGGCATTTAAAATAAAATAATAATAAGTACAGTGGTACTTTTATGGGAGAAAAGAAGATCATGCAGGACAAATACCACACCGGCACATTGCTTTCAATGGGAATATACAGTGAGGGAAAAAAGGTATTTGATCCCCTGCTGATTTTGTATGTTTGCCCACTGACAAAGACATGATCAGTCTATAATTTTAATGGTAGGTTTATTTGGACAGTTGAGAGACAGAATAACAACAAAAAAATCCAGAAAAACGCATGTCAAAAATGTTATAAATTGATTTGCATTTTAATGAGGGAAATAAGTATTTGACCCCTCTGCAACACATGACTTAGTAGTTGGTGGCAAAACCCTTGTTGGTAATCACAGAGGTCAGACGTTTCTTGTAGTTGGCCACCAGGTTTGCACACATCTCAGGAGGGATTTTGTCCCACTCCTCTTTGCAGATCTTCTCCAAGTCATTAAGGTTTCGAGCCTGACGTTTTGAACCTTCAGCTCCCTCCACAGATTTTCTATGGGATTAAGGTCTAGAGACTGGCTAGGCCACTCCAGGACCTTAATGTGCTTCTTCTTGAGCCACTCCTTTGTTGCCTTGGCCGTGTGTTTTGGGTCATTGTCATGCTGGAATACCCATCCACGACCCATTATCAATGCCCTGGCTGAGGGAAGGAGGTTCTCACCCAAGATTTGACGGTATATGGCCCCGTCCATCGTCCCTTTGATGCGGTGAAGTTGTCCTGTCCCCTTAGCAGAAAAACACCCCCAAAATGTTCCCACCTCCATGTTTGACGGTGGGGATGGTGTTCTTGGGGTCATAGGCAGCATTCCTCCTCCTCCAAACACGGCGATTTGAGTTGATGCCAAAGAGCTCGATTTTGGTCTCATCTGATCACAACACTTTCACCCAGTTCTCCTCTGAATCATTCAGATGTTCATTGGCAAACTTCAGACGTGCATGTATATGTGCTTTCTTGAGCAGTGGGACCTTGTGGGCGCTGCAGGAGTTCAGTCCTTCACGGCGTAGTGTGTTACCAATTGTTTTCTTGGTGACTATGGTCCCAGCTGCCTTGAGATCATTGACAAGATCCTCCTGTGTAGTTCTGGGCTGATTCCTCACCGTTCTCATGATCATTGCAATAATAATAATAATATGCCAGTTAGCAGACGCTTTTATCCAAAGCGACTTACAGTCATGTGTGCATAAATTGTTGTGTATGGGTGGTCCCGGGGATCGAACCCACTACCCTGGCGTTACAAGCGCCGTGCTCTACCAGCTGAGCTACAGAGGACCACAACTCCACGAGGTGAGATCTTGCATGGAGCCCCAGGCCGAGGGAGATTGACAGTTATTTTGTGTTTCTTCCATTTGCAAATGATCGCACCAGCTGTTGTCACCTTCTCAACAAGCTGCTTGCCAATGGTGTTGTAGCCCATTCCAGTCTTGTGTAGGTCTACCATCTTGTCCCTGACATCCTTGGAGAGCTCTTTGGTCTTGGCCATGGTGGAGAGTTTGGAATCTGATTGATTGATTGCTTCTGTGGACAGGTGTCTTTTATACAGGTAACAAGCTGAGATTAGGAGCACTCCCTTTAAGAGTGTGCTCCTAATCTCAGCTTGTTACCTGTATAAAAGACACCTGGGAGCCAGAAATCTTTCTGATTGAGAGGGGGTCAAATACTTATTTCCCTCATTAAAATGCAAATCAATTTATAAAATTTTTGACATGCGTTTTTCTGGATTTTTCTGTTGTTATTCTGTCTCTCACTGTTCAAATAAACCTACCATAAAAATTATAGACTGATCATTTCTTTGTCAGTGGGCAAACGTACAAAATCAGCAGGGGATCAAATACTTTTTTCCCTCACTGTAGGTTCTATATAAAACATTTATATCACTGAGAACAGAAGCATAACGGCACATGGGTGACACAAAGCACATACTGTCTCCCGAGTGGCACAGTGGTCTAAGGCACTGCTTCGCAGTGCTAGCTGTGCCACTAGAGATCCTGGTTCGAAATCCAGGCTCTGTCGTAGCCGGCCGTGACCGGGAGACCTATGGGGCGGCGCACAATTGGCCCTGCGTCGTCCAGGGTAGGGGAGGGAATGGCCGGCAGGGATGTAGCTCAGTTGGTAGAGCATGGTGTTTGCAACGCCAGGGTTGTGGGTTCGATTCCCACGGGGGGCCAGTATGAAAAATATAATGTATGCACTCACTAACTGTAAGTCGCTCTGGATAAGAGCGTCTGCTAAATGACTAAAAATGTAAAATGTAAAAATACTTTCTACATTTGAATGTCACAGGAATCACTTTGTGAATTCCTTTGAAAGACATGCAATAGGTGCACTCACACAGGCAGGCGCACACACACACAAACACGCCCACATCTCGATGAGAAGCCGGGAAAGAACCTTATTTGTTTTGTCTAATAGCTAGAGGACGTATTTTGTAGATGTTAATGAGAGGCAATTAGTTTTGATTAAAAATAAGATTACTGCTTCTCCATGCAATGCTACTATATCAAAACAAAATAATATGAATCACTGTTTGGGCAAGACATTATTGTCAACAGCGAGATTCATTTCACAAATGGTACACATTGCTCTGAGCGAGGAAGGATGAGAAAACACTCATTTAGAAACGTGTGGGTCTTATCACCATACTCTGTTCACTTGAGGACTTTTTCATCATATTGAAAAGCTGTAATTATCCTCATTGTGTTTGTGCCTGTTGCCCGCGCCTGTGTGCCAATATTGTGTGTAATGACAGGTTGGACTCAGCCCTCTCTCTCTGTCTCTCTCTCTTCCCCCGGCAGCGTCCATTGTGATTGGGAAGTGGTGGTGCGAGATGGAGCCGTGTCTGGAGGGAGAGGAGTGTAAGACTCTGCCTGATAACTCTGGATGGATGTGCTCCTCTGGGAACAAGATCAAGACCACAAGGGTGAGACTCTGCTATGGCCCTAGACTAACACACACACACACACACACACACACACATCACACTGAACACAGCACACACAGGCTACTCTCTCACAATGGCTATGGATGTGTCAGAAAAGCTATGTGAATCTGTTGGTTAAGTGAGATGTGGTGAGAAGCCTTTACATCACTGCAACCTTTAGAAAACAACAACAACAACCTATCAGGAGGTAACTTGAACCTGAGTGACCATAGTTAGACAAGACATATCTGATGTAAATGCTTTGGTACGACCTCATCTGCTGTCCCATTATCATTTGGGTAATCGTCTCCTGTTTTTTAATATAAAATACCTACATTTTCAAAAGTCAAGCACCCTCAGTGGGAATGAAGTGTGCACTTGACACATATTCTGTATTTGTTTCTTTCTAGTGAGCTGGGCTTTTTAAACTGTAAGCAGAATATCCAATGACCTGTTTTTGACAGAGGGGTAAACTCTTTAGGAAGATAAACTTAGGAGCAAGTGCCTTTCCATTGCCAGGCAGAGTGTAAAAAAACAAGCTGAAGAATCGGCCATAAGAAATGAAAATAATAAAAGGAATAAAGTGAGCTCATCTAACACTCTGTGACAGGTAGATCGCCAGATTTGTATTCATTCTATTGACTCCCCAGACCGGGTGCAGCCTCCCGCTTCTCTTAGTGATTCGTGACCATGACTTTGAATAGAAACAGAGAGTAATGTGATAATGGTGACGGGAACAGCCAGGGAAGGTTAGACCACACATGGTTTCTCAAGGTTGTTCCACCTGCTTATGCAGTACACAGTCTATACTGGTATACTATTCCAAGCCCCCACCCTAAAAGTGAAAAGAAGTTGAACGGATGGTACGATTTTGCCAGCCTGTCAAGGTAAGCAAACTTCAAGAATGCCTCTCTGAATGCATTCTTTGGACAACAACGTGAAAAGCGTTTCATAAGTTGGATGTAACCTTGGACGAACCCTCTGGTTGCCAAGCATAATTCCTAAATCAGTGGTTCACAAACCTCTCCTTGGGGACACCCTACCATCCTATGTATTTTATGTATTCCAGAGCTAGCACACCTGCTTCAAATTGTCAACTAATCATCAAGCCCTTGGTTGTGTTCCTCTGCTCAGACATTGCATGCATCAACCAATGGTTGCGTGCCATGTCATCGACTGTGCCGTCGGGCACCAGATTGCTAAAACATATGATGTGGTTAGCTGATATGTAAAATACCTATCCAGGCATTGTAAGATATGGTATGTGTCAGCAACGCCTGGGCAGAGGAACGCGCCCCTTGACTATGTGAATCAGTTAAGCTAGTTCAAGGCTAAACAAAATTGTGAAATGTATTGCGGTCCCCGAGGAGAGGTTTGAGAACCACTGTCCTAAAAACTCCTTATATGAATCAATTACTCTGTGCTGTACTATAAGTGATCTGAAGTCAGTGAACAGGAATGGATCCTGTGTGTGTGCATTAGGGTAAGAGGCAAAGACTCTACTAAAGGATTTACTCCCAAATATACAGATCAACATTTTCTCTTGACCCTCTCTTTGCAGAACACTGCGCCATACTCACCTTTTTAGCTCTGGAAGCAAAATGCAGAGGATGCTTCAACAGAAACTGAGCTGCATTCTTGCTTCTGTTAAGGTTAGTCTCTCTCCAGCTTCTCTTCATCTGCACTTCACTTCACTAAACCACTATAGGAGTGTGACTGACTGACCTATGTTCAATGGCTTGTCATTAAACCAAATACTCAGTGAAAAATATTCAAGTGTGTGTGTTTACAGAATGTGCATGATTAGGCAGGCTTGACACAAATACTGTGCGCTCTCCCTTCCACTCAAGATTACAATATAACACACGCAGCACATGCAACACACGCAATATAAATCATGTTCGTAAACAATTTAAAAACTATCTCACGTATATCTAGAAATATAAAGACATGCATGCCGCCTGTCAACACGCACATACACACACGTATAGAAACACACACAGCCCTTGCCATTTGCTGTTCTGGTCAGATCGGTGTGTAATAGTAGGATCAGTCCCTCTCTCTCATCTATTCTCTCCTTTGTTTCATGTCCTATTTTGCTACTGGGTACTGTGTGAATTAGATTACAGTGCATAGTCCCAGTCTGCCAATCCCATTATGATGTGCTAATCTCGTGTGTGTGTGTGTGTGTGTGTGTGTGTGTGTGTGTGTGTGTGTGTGTGTGTGTGTGTGTGTGTGTGTGTGTGTGTGTGTGTGTGTGTGTGTGTGTGTGGTTTTGTTTGTGTTTGTCTGACACCCTTGGGTATGTATTCCTTCTGCTCCTCTTGTTGTGTGGGTTCTTATCAGAGCCTGCTTTATGTCCTGATCTGCCTCTAAGGGGGGCATTTAGACAGCTATCTGCGGACAGCATAAACAACAGACAATATAAAAGGCTTTTATTCCCTCTGTATTTCTCTGTTTTAATCAACATCCTACATTCTTTCTGCATTGAGAGGGCAAATAACCTCATATGCATTTGTTTCGTTATACTCCAGTAAATCCTACAGGACTTTTTCCCCCTTTTCATTTCACCTGCAGGCTTTGATTTGGCTCTGAACAGCCTCAGTGAAATGCAATCAGGCACACGTGCGCACGCACACGCACATACTCACACATAAATACATCAGCTTTAATACTCGTTTTTGAAATTGGCATGAAAGAAAGAATCTGCCAAAGCGAGTGCCTGACACCCTTGTTTTCTGTCTTTTTTCTTGCTCTCTTTCAGAGGGGGAGCCCTGCTTACCTGTACTCTATCAGCAGCAGACAAGGCAGGCCTTTTGTTTGAGGAAGTCACAGTGAAGGGAACTGGGGAAGGACCCCTCCAAACACACGCCCAGCATAGATCCACATTACCCGCTCCATTGGCTAAATAGATCAATCAATTTCTGCTCTCGCCATACAATTACATGTAAAAGGGAGAGAACAAATAAAAAAGCTGAAATGTAACATCTTGTCTTCAGCTTCATTCTGCTTACCTGCCCTTTTGTTATAAGGATCTAATTATATGAAGGCTTCAATATAATCAAGAATCCCTACCAGACAGACAGTACATGTCACCAGACAGATTAACTAATAGCCCAGGATCATACGTGACTGAGAGAAGAAGAAGAACAACTGATAACAGCTGTTTCACTAATACTTTGGTAGTTTCCTAGCTGTTACCTCAGTATGTAATTAGATTCAGTATATGCTTTGCTGTTTCAAGAGCCACATGTTGTCTATTAGAAGTACCAGAAGGCACCTTTTCAAGCCAGTCATAAACCACAACAGGCTTGTTCAGAGCAAAGTGAACTGCCAACAGATGCATCACCATTAAATGTGTTGAATAAGGGAAATCATAAAACAATTGATCGAATGAACAACAGGCACCACCCCACACAGTAAAATCATGCTTTCAACTTATATTTATTTGGTAACAGTTCACATTAACCATCCATCCGCATTTTGCTTTCATAATAATGACATGACAGCTTAAAGGGGCAGTCTGCAGTTGCTAAATTTTCTGACTTATAAATTAATGATATGTACCCATTGATTGTTGAAGAATATAACTTATAAATGCCTTATGAGCTTAGTTCAACTGTCGTACCCCATCAGAAGCCAAAATATGATCTTGTTTTACTACAATGTTTTTAAACAAAGTAAATGTAAACATACACTGTGGCCTCAAAACATGGTTAAAACAATAATTGTGATATCATGGATGGTCAGTCCTTGCATCCATACCTCTGTCTATGAATTTGAGAGTGGTTACATTGATCCAACACCATCCCTCAGCTTTCTACTGAAACAGGGGCGGTGATTCACTTTGTTATTGTTTCAACTACTGATTGCCACTTTAACTGTCTTAACAGTATATTAAGTAGTAGACAAACTTTTGTTTTGTAGTGGGAGTAATATTTGACATGTGTATATTATACTATGTATACCTCACATGCGACCAATGATAAGACTATGTCATTTGTACATTAAGAAAGTATATCTGACTCCATTTAACATTATAGTAAAACCATGTGCGATCAAGTATTATGTATTTAGCTGACTAAGATCAAGGAATGGTCATGAGAAGTGAATATCAAAGCAAGTATTATTTAATAACTTGGAATGGATTCACATTCATCGCATAAAGCTTAAGTTACAAGGCAATACTGACATAAACAAAGCATAATTCTAGACATATAGATCCTAAGGTTAACTTAGACAAAGCATGAACAAAGAGATTTCTACTAGGCCAGAGGCCTAGAAGCCTAGGAAATTAGAATATATCACACAAACTTTTGCCAATGGACAGGATACAGGATAAGAGAGAGAACAACAGACCTTCATTTCATTTATAACATCTGAAGGTCTAAAACCTACCACCATTGACCAATCAAACAATACCAAGTTTACAGTTCACCCAGGCCCAATCACCACATGGTGTCACAGCATCTAAAGACTTGTGTGAGGGATGAGACCAATGTAAATAATACATAATTCCTGAGAGGACAATAAAACCTCTTTGCATAGAGTAATTTAAAGTTCACCCTGTACAGATACAAGTTACCACAGAGATCATTCATCCAAATAGATAGCTTCAGAGTTCTACTCAGAGGACAAATTTCAGATAGATACCAGACATGGACACTATAGTATTATTCTATCACACATTCAATAGTCAGTCCTCTGGATACTGCAGAGCAGTGGTCACCAACCGGTTCCCAAAGTGTTCCCATTTTGAACCATTTCATGTGTCTGAAGGTAGAACTCCGCCTACCCGGCAGGCCCAGAGAGCAAATGAAGTGCACCTATAGGCCTACCACTGGCCAATCAGATTGCTCAGATCACCGTGTCTGCATAGTTTTCTCATGCCATACACTGTAAAAAGAAGCCTCGAACGCACAGAAAAGTTGATAATGTGAGATTTCAAAAGTTGTAAAACCATGAGGAGAGAGACTCAACGAATACAGCGAAGAGCTGCTGTGTTTAAGAGTAAGTTCATGTTTAAGTTGTTATTCAGCACTGTCAACACTTCGTTCAACAGTTTAATAAGCCATAAAATGCACATTCTCCCAACTTCCACTCACGCTATAACCAGCGCTGCAATGAATGAGTATAGCAAAATGTTTCGATAAGCTTGCTTTGTTATTATTTGCAGCTTGTGTCTTTTAATATCAAGGAATATTTCACTTTCTCTGGTCATAGGAGTAACAACATGAATTGGTGCATGAGGCAGAAATACTGCAGCTTGAAGACTGTGTCCCCTTTTCTCAGCGGAGGGAGGGAGAGAGGAGGGATGGTGAGTCAGGTGAGAGGCAGCCTCACCACTCCTCCCTCCCTCCCCTCAAACTGACTATCAGATGCAGGCCATCAGTTCAGTAAAAACATATATAATTATTATGCTCACTCACTCAGCTGTGCATCACAAGTAATACAACAAATTATCTATTACCAGCGTGGTCATATACCTTAAATGTTGAAATATATCATTTCAAAATGGTCTTAGAAGAACAACATTGACAGCGCAATTCAAGCTTAGCCAATATGCAGTGATAATGTATTTGGCCTATACTGTAGCATACTGCACAAACCTCATTGCTACAGAACTGTTTTTAATTGTTTAATGTTGCAGAGGCTTACCTTTTTTAGGTTGTGTTTATTTTATTTTTAATTATTTGCGTTGGATCTCAGCTTGCATTTTGACTCATAAAGTGATCTTGACTCAGAAACGGTTAGTGACCACTGCTGTAGAGAGAGATACATTTTGGCCCTCAGAGGGGGAAGGGCGTACTGGTCCTTAAAGCATTGTCCTTTGCATTTTGCTGGGCCGTTTGCCATGCACCAGGTGAGAGAGAGACATAGTTTAGGGCAGAGCCTACAGTGTCATAAAGTGATTTGTCAGAAGCTGACATGAACTGCCATGACTGTTTATGTCATCTGTCATGTCATTCTCATAATAGTGTTATGTAGGCCTTATGATGGAAGGTTAATATAAAGTGGTTCTGCTTGCTTCTACTCTTTTGCTCTATACCCATTGTCAGTGTCACATTAAATGGATCTTGTTGTATGTTGTTGTTGTCTGGAGTTTTCTGTTCCTTGAGGGTGTTTCATTGCTTTTCGAAGAAGTTCCTCAACAAATGGAATGGATGTGTTCAGCACTTAACGAGAAACAGAAGAAAAGAGAATTACATTTACATTTAAGTCATTCTTATCCAGAGTGACTTACAAATTGGTGCATTCCACTTCGGATAGCCAGTGGGACAACCACCCTCTTTGTTTGTTTTTGTTTGTATTTTTTTTAAATGTGGGGGTGGGGGAGGGAGGGGTAGAAGGATAACTATTATACTATTCCAGGTATTCCTTAAAGAGGTAGGGTTTCAAGTGTCTCGGGAAGGTGGTCAGTGACTCCGCTGTCCAGGCGTTGTGGGGGAGGTTGTTCCACCATTGGGGTGCCAGAGAAGCGAATAGCTTTGACTGGGCTGAGTGGGAACTGTGCTTCCGTAGAGGTAGGGGGGGCTAGCAGGCCAGAGGTGGATGAATGTAGTGCCCTCGTTTGGGTGTTGTGTCTGATCAGAGCCTGAAGGTAAGGAGGTGCCGTTCCCCTCACAGCTCCGTAGGCAAGCACCATGGTTTTGTAGTAGATGCGAGCTTCAACTGGAAGCCAGTGGAGTGTGCGGAGGAGTGGGGTGACATGAGAGAACTTGGGAAGGTTGAACATCAGATGGGCTGCAGCGTTCTGGAAAGTTGTAGGGGTTTAATGGCACAGGCAGGGAGCAGCGAGTTGCAGTAATCCAGACGGGAGATGACAAGTGCCTGGATTAGGACCTGTGCCGCTTTCTGTGTAAGGTAGGGTTGTACTCTGCGAATGTTGTAGAGCATGAACCTGCAGGATCGGGTCACGCCAAGGTTCTTTGCACTCTGGGAGGAGGACACAATGGAGTTGTCAACTGTGATGGCGAGATCATGGAGCGGGTAGTCCTTCCCCGGGAGGAAGAGCAGCTCCGTCTTGCCGAGGTTCAGCTTGAGGTGGTGATCCGACATCGAAACTGATATCTCTGACAGACATGCAGAGATGTGATTCACCACCTGGTTATCAGAAGGGGGAAAGGAGAAAATTAATTGTGTGTCGTCTGCGTAGCAATGATAGGATAGACCATGTGAGGATATGACAGAGCCAAGTGACTTGGTGTATAGAGAGAATAGGAGAGGGCCTAGAACTGAGCCCTGGGGGACACCAGTGGTGAGAGCACGTGGTGCGGAGACAGATTCTCACCACGCCACCTGGTAGGAGCGACCTGTCAGGTAGGACGCAATCCAAGAGTGAGCGGCGCCGGAGATGCCCAACTCGGAGAGGTTGGAAAGGAGGATCTGATGGTTCACAGTATCAAAGGCAGCAGATAGATCTAGAAGGATAAGAGCAGAGGAGAGAGAGTTAGCTTTAGCAGTGCGGAGAGCCTCCGTGACACAGAGAAGAGCAGTCTCAGTTGAGTGACCAGTCTTGAAACCTGACTGGTTTGGATCAAGAAGGTCATTCTGAGAGATATAGCAGGAGAGTTGACTAGAGACGGCATGCTCAAGAGTTTTGGAGAGAAAAGAAAGGGATATTGGTCTGTAGTTGTTGACATCGGAGGGATCGAGTGTAGGTTTTTTGAGGAGCGGTGCAACTCTCGCTCTCTTGAAGACGGAAGGGACATAGCCAGCGGTCAAGGATGAGTAGATGAGCGAGGTGAGGTAAGGGAGAAGGTCTCCGGAAATGGTCTGGAGAAGAGAGGAGGGGATAGGGTCAAGCGGGCAGGTTGTTGGGCAGCCGGCCATCACAAGTCGCAAGATTTCATCTGGAGAGAGAGGGGAGAAAGAAGTCAAAGCATAGGGTAGGGCAGTGTGAGCAGGACCAGCGGTGTCGTTTGACTTAATAAATGAGGATTGGATGTCGTCAACCTTCTTTTCAAAATGGTTGACGAAGTCATCCACAGAGAGGGAGGAGGGTGGGGGAGGAGGAGGAGGATTCAGCAGGGAGGAGAAGGTGGCAAAGAGCTTCCTAGGGTTAGAGGCAGAGGCTTGAAATTTAGAGTGGTAGAAAGTGGCTTTAGCAGCAGAAACAGAGGAAGAAAATGTAGAGAGGAGGGAGTGAAAAGATGACAGGTCCGCAGGGACTCTAGTTTTCCTCCATTTCCGCTCGGCTGCCTGGAGCCCTGTTCTGTGAGCTCGCAATGAGCTCCCGAGTGGCACAGTGGTCTAAGGCACTGCATCTCAGTGCTTGAGGCGTCACTACAGACTCACTGGTTCGATTCCAGGCTGTATCACAACAGGCCATGATTGGGAGTCCCATAGGGCGGCGTAAAATTGGCCCAGCATCGTCCGGGTTTGGCCGGTGTAAGCCGTCATTATAAATAAGAATTTGTTCTTAACTGATTTGCCTAGTTAAATAAAGGTAAAATAAAATTTAAACTTTAAAAAATGAGTCGTCAAGCCACAGAGCAGGAGGGGAGGACCGAGCCGGCCGGGAGGATAGGGGACATAGAGAGTCAAAAGATGCAGAAAGGAGGGTTGAGGAGGCAGAATCAGGGGATTGGAGGGAGAAGGATTTAGCAGAGGGAAGAGATGATAGGATGGAAGAGGAGAGAGTAGCGAGAGAGAGAGCGAAGGTTGCGACGGCACATTACCATCTGAGTAGGGGCAGAGTGAGTAGTGTTGGAGGGGAGAGAAAAGGATACAAAGTAGTGGTCGGAGACTTGGAGGGGAGTTGCAGTGAGATTAGTAGAAGAACAGCATCTAGTAAAGATGAGGTCAAGTGTATTGTCTGCCTTGTGAGTAGGGGGGGACGGTGAGAGGGTGTGGTCAAAAGAGGAAAGGAGTGGAAAGAAGGAGGCAGAGAGAAATTAGTCAAAGGCAGACATAGGGAGGTTAAAGTCACCCAGAACTGTGAGGGGTGAGCCATCCTCAGGAAAGGAACTTATCAAGGCGTCAAGCTCATTGATGATCTCTCCAAGGGAACCTGGAGGGCTATAAATGATAAGGATGTTAAGCTTGAATGGGCTAGTGACTGTGACAGCATGGAATTCAAATGAGGAGATAAACAGATGGGTCAGGGGGAAAAGAGAGAATGTCCACTTGGGAGAGATGAGGATTCCTGTGCCACCACCGCGCTGACCAGATGCTCTCGGGGTATGCAAGAACACATGATCAGACGAGGAAAGAGCAGTAGGAGTAGCAGTGTTTTCTGTGGTAATCCATGTTTCCGTCAGCTCCAAGAAGTCCAGGGACTGGAGGGTAGCATAGGCTGAGATGAACTCTGCCTTGTTGGCCGCAGAACGGCAGTTCCAGAGGCTGCCGGAGTCCTGGAACTCCACGTGGGTCGTGCGCACAGGGACCACCAGATTAGAGTGGCAGCAGCCACGCAGTGTGAAGCGTTTGTATGGCCTGAGGAGAGAACAGGGATAGACAGACACACAGTTGACAGGCTACAGAAAAGGCTACAATAATGCAAAAGAGATCAGAATAAAATTAAGTAAACATCTGGGGAAGCAAGAGAGCGGGGCCTCCCTCACTTAACTTTCACTGAAACACTCAAATATAACTCTCCCAACTTCCACTTTAGAAATTATAATTGTTGTAAACTACAGCGGTTCAATGTTTTCTAGGAATAGACTCTAACTTAGTTTATTCAGCTAGCTAACTTGGTACAGTATTCTTCCATGAAAACCGCCCAGGGTACTATATCCTATGACGCCATAGCTAACTAGCATGCTAGCTTCCAATAACACACGGTTTAGCACCAATACTTGGTTACAACAAACTACCAATAGTGTGTTAACACACTAAACAAATCATTAGTCTCTGTGTCTAACGTTGTGTAAAGTTTTGGGTTAGTTTTGACAGTTTGAGTGAGTACGTCGTCAATCTATTCAGCCAGTTAGTTAGCTAGCTAGAATAGTTAGCATATTAGCTAGCCATCGCTCTCTGTTAACGAACCAACCCCTCCTCCCACGGTATGAAACACACAGAGAAAGCCAAGCTAACGTTAACTAGTCACCCATGTCTTGAATTCATTTTAAACGACTCTGGTTACCAGTATAATAGTTAGGAAATCCTTTTCCAATCCATCCCTACCTGCTGCTGCTCTGTTCCTTTCCAGAGAAGGGGACAGAACAGACAGCTGAAATGACAGCATGTGCATATAGTGTAACAAACCTCTATGGGATTCAGTCTGTCTCTCTGTGGGAGAAGCAGGCGTAATGACAACTGCGCTTGTTATATTAGAGGTCACTTTCTGCTGGAACAAACTGTGACATTTTGCTATTCATTGATTGATAGAGATGAAACATATGCAAATGCTGGACAGCTAAGCCCTAAGGATTGGATCTCTGACCAAAGGGGCTGGTTCTGTACAGAGAGAAGAGAAGGGAGAGAGTACACATGGTACCTGCTACTGTAAGGTTGTGGCCTGGTAAAGAGAAAAGAGAGTCAAACTATCTTTGAATGGGAATGATCGAGTCGTCATGCTACAGGAAATCAGGCTTTCCAATATGGCATTTACAGTGCTTTCGGAAAGTATTCAGACCCCTTGACTTTTTCCACATTTTGTTATGTTACAGCCTTATTCTAAAATTGATTTTAAAAAATGTTTTCCCTCATCAATCTACAAACAATACCCCATAATGACAAAGCAAAAACAGATTTTCTAGATTTTTTTGCAGATGTACTAAAAATAAAATAAATAAATACCAGAGCAAAAACCAAGCCATGGTTGCTCTGACAGAGCTCCAGAGTTCCTCTGTGGAGATGGAAGAATCTTCCAGAAGGCCTTTATGGTAGAGTGGCCAGACGGAAGCCACTCCTCAGTAAAAGGCACATGACAGCCCGCTTGGAGTTTGCCTAAAGGTACCTAAAGACTCTCAAGATTCTCTGGTCTGATGAAACCAAGATTGAACTCTTTGGCCTGAATCCAAGCTTCACGTCTGGAGGAAACCTGGCACCATTCCCTACGGTGAAGCATGGTGGTGGCAGCATCATGCTGTGGGGATGTTTTTCAGCGGCAGGGACTGAGAGACTAGTCGTGCTCGAGGGAAAGATGAACGGAGCAAAGTACAGAGAGATCCTTGATGAAAACCTGCTCCAGAGAGCTCAGGACCTCAGACTGGGGTGAAGGTTTACCTTCCAACATGACAACGACCCTAAGCACTCAGCCAAGACAACACAGGAGTGGCTTTGGGACAAGTCTCTGAATGTCCTTGAGTGGCCCAGCCAGAGCCCGGACTTGAACCCGATCTAACATCTCTGGAGAGACCTGAAAATAGCTGTGCAGCGACGTTCCCCATCCAACCTGACAGAGCTTGAGAGGATCTGCAGAGAAGAATGGGAGAAACTCCCCAAATACAGGCGTGCCAAGCTTGTAGCGTCATACCCAAGAAGACTCGAGGCTGTAATCGCTGCCAAAGGTGCTTCAACAAAGTACTGAGTAAAGGGTCTGAATACTTATGCAAATGTAATATTTTCATGACATTTCTAAAAACCTGTTTTTGCTTTGTCATTTTGGGGTATTGTGTGTAGATTGATGAGGGAAAAAACTATTTAATACATTTTAGAATAAGGCTGAAACGTAACAAAATGTGGACTGTGAGAGAGAAAGGCTATAAGCCTCCACATCCTTCCACCATCCACCCCCACAATCTCCAAATTACGACAGACCTGTTAGTATGAGCTGTGCCCAGGGCCCCAAGGGGTCCCCCAGGGTCATGCCCCTGTCTCAATCACACACACACACCTGGCTGCCACCACCAGCAGAGACCTGTGGTAAGAGCTTTTTATTAGCTCCACGGTGTGCAGGGTATCCCCTATTCTCTGTCCTCATTTCTGATTCTTAGACAGGATTTATCAGAGTCACAGTTTTAGTGAGATTGATTGCTGTGAATGTTGTTGATTTCGGTAAATGTGCATATGAGTAAATATCAAACATAATATCACATTTTTGAGGAGATATTAACGTTTAGATGATATATTGAGACACACTGTCAACCTTGGGAAACATGCCGTGGGTGTAACCAAGACAAGACAAAGGGAATGCAGTAGGTAAAGATTGAGCAGTCTAGTTCTTCATGAACATATTGAGCACCTCGTTCAGCCTTCTGAAAAGCCTTCTATAGCTGTCTGAGGGCTGCACAATGTGCCATTGAAATCCAGCGAGATTCACGACTGACACTAAAAAGAGTTGTTGAATTTAAATCACAGGGAGACAGTCAGGCTTACATCCCTTTTAGCAGAACCAAAGTCCTTTCACTGAGCTCAGATAGATGGGCTAAAATACTGAGAGATGATTGGCTGGTTCTGTTTGAGGAAGCACAGGCTTTTCCATGACGTTGATCGTGGGTAACAAAAGTGTGAAGTAATAAAGCTAAAAATATGCCACAGTGATATTACCCAGAGCAGATAAACACAGCATGGAACCACACCAAGGTTTTTGCACCGAAACTCTCTGATATCTTATGGATGAGAATGTACCTCAGTTTCAAAGTCGCTCACTCTCACAAAAGCTGTCTGTTTTTAGCAATAACAGCAGAGTGGAGGTGAGAGAGACCTCTTGTTTTGACATGTGGAATGGAGAATTCCTCTGGGTGTAATCCTCACATACTTGTATGCCTTTGTTCTATCTAAGTGTGTGTTTGTTTCTCTTCTCCTCTTCCCTGTATGTTTCAGATTCACCCCAGGACCTAACAAAGAGCTCCCTTGA